TTTCATGTACCTGTTGGCCATCTGTATGTCTTCTTTGGAAAAATGTCTGTTCATATCCTCTGCCCATTTTTTGATCAGGTTGTTTGTTCTTTTGTTATTGGGTTATAGGAGTTCTTTACATATTTTGGAAGTTAACCCCTTATCTGATATATGATTTGCAAATATTTTCTCCCAGTTGGTGGGTTGTCTTTTCATTTTATTGATGGTTTCCTTTGCTATGCAGAAGCTTTTCAGTCTGATGTAGTCCCATTTGTTCATTTTTTCTTTTGTTTCCCTTGTCTGAGGAGACATGGTATTCAAAAAGACACTGCTAAACCTAAGTGCCCATCAAGGGACGAATGGATAAAGAAGCTGTGGTATATATACACAATGGAATACTACTCAGCCATAAGAAACGATGAAATCCAGCCACTTGTGACAACATGGATGGACATTGAGGGTATTATGCAAAGTGAAATAAGTCAGAGGGGGAAGGTCAAATACCATATGACTTCCTTCATTAAGTAGTAGATAATAGCAACAATAAACAAACACATAGAGACAGAGATTGGATTGGTGGTTACCAGAGGGGAAGGGGGGAGGGAGGAGGGTGAAAGGGATAATTTGGCACATGTGTGTGGTGATGGGTTGTAATTAGTATTTGGGTGGTGAACATGATGTAATCTATTCAGAAATAGAAGTATAATGATGTACACCTGAAATTTATACAATGTTATAAACCAATGTTACTGCAATAAACAAACAAACAAACAAACAAAAAAAGACACTGCTAAGACTGATGTCAAAGAGTGTACTGCTTATATTTTCTTCTAAGAATTTTATGGTTTCAGGTCTTCTGTTCACGTCTTTAATTCATTTTGAGTTAATTTTTATGTACGGTGTAAGACAATGGTCTACTTTCATTCTTTTGCATGTTGCTGTCTGGTTTTCCCAACACTGTTTATTGAAGAGACTTTTCTTTCTCCATTGTATGTTCTTGGCTCCTTTGTCAAAGATTAGCTGTCCGTAGATGTGTAGTTTTATTTCTGGACTTTCAGTTCTGTTCCATTGATCTGTGTGTCTGTTTTACTGCCAGTACCATGCTGTTTTGGTCACTGTAGCTTTGTAGTATATTTTGATTTCAGAGAGTGTGATACCTCCAACTTTGTTCTTTTTTCTGAGGATAGATTTGGCTATTGTTCCATATAAATTTTAGGATTCTTTGTTCTATTTCCGTGAAGAATGGCATTGGGATTCTGATTGGGATCGCATTGAATCTGTAGATTGCTTTAGGTGATATGGACATTTTAAGTATGTTAATTCTTCCAATACAGGAGCACAGAATATCTTTCCATTTCTTTGTGTCTTTGATTTCTTTCAACAATGTCTTATAGTTTTCAGTGCATAGGTCTTTCACCTCTTGGTTAAATTTTTTCCTAGGTATTTTATTCTTTTTGTTGCAATTGTAGATGGAATTGTATTCTCGATTTTTCTTTCTGCTAATGCATTGCTGGTGTATAGAAATATAACTGACTTTTATATGTTGATTTTGTACCCTACAACTTTATTATTTTCATTGATTATGTCTAATAGTTTTTTGGTGGATTCTTTAGGGTATTCCATGTGTAAAATCATGTCATCCACAGATAGTGACTGTTTTACATCTTCCCTTCCAATTTGGATACCTTTTATTTCCGTTTCTTGCCTAATTGCTCTAGCTAGCTTTTCCAATACTATGTTGAAGAAGAGTGGCAAAAGTGGGCATCCTTGTTTTGTTTCTATTCTTGGGGGAATAGCTTTCAGTTTTTCACCATTGAGTATGATGTTGGCTGTGAGTTTGTCATATATGGCCTTTATTGTACTGAGGTACTTTCCTCATGTATCCATTTTATTGAGAATCTTTATCATAAATGGATGCTGTATCTTGTCAAATGCTTTCTCTGCATCTATCGAGATGACATGTGATTTTTATGCTTCCTTTTGTTAATGTGGTGTATCACATTGATTGGTTTGTGGATGTTGAACCATCCCTGCGTCCGTGGAATAAGTCCCACTTGATTGTGGTGTTATGATCCTTTTAATTTATTGTTGTCTTTGGTTTGCTAATATTTTGTTGAGGATTTTTGCATCCACCTTCATCAATGATATTGGCTTGTAAATTTCCTTTTTTATGTTGTCCTTATCTGGTTTTCGTATCAGGGTAATGTTGATCTCATAAATGAGTTAGGAAGCATCACGTCTTCAATTTTCTGCAATAGTTTGAGAAGGATAGGTATTAAATCTTCTTTGAATGTTTGGTAGAATTCACCACGGAAGCTATCTGGTCCTGGACTTTTGTTTTTTGGGAGGTTTTTGATTAATGTTTCAATTTCTTTACTTGTGTTTGGTCAATTCGGATTCTTTTTCTTCTTAATTCAGTTTTGGGAAGTTATATGAGTCTACGAATTTATCCATTTCTTCTAGATTATCCAATTTGTTGGTGCATAGCTTTTCATATTCTCTTATAATCCTTTGTATTTCTGTGGTGTCCATTGTAATTTCTCCTTTTTCCTTTTTGATTTTATTTATTTGAATCTTCTCTCTTTTTTTCTTAGTGAGTGTGTCTAGGGGTTTGTCAATTTTGTTTATCTTCTCAAAGAACAAGGTCTTAGTTTTATTGATCCTTTCTATCATTTTTTTAGTCTCTATTTCATTTATTTCTGCTCTGAGTTTTATTATTTCCTTCCTTCTACTGACTTTGGGCTTTGTTTGTTTTTCTTTTTCTAGGTATTTTAGGTATAGTGTAAGATTGTTTATTTGAGATTTTTCTTGTTTGTTGAGATAGGCCTGTATTGCTATAAATTTCCCTCTTAGTACTGCTTTTGCTGCATCCTGTAAGTTTTTGTATGTTGTGTTTTCATTTTCATTTGTATCCAGGTATTTTTTGATTTCTCCTTTGATTTATTCATTGATCCAGTGGTTGTTCAGTAGCATGTTGTTTAGTTTCCACATATCTGTGACCCTCCCAGCTTTTTCCTAGTTTCATAGCATTATGGTCAGAAAAGATGCTTGATATGATTTAAATCTTAAGTTTATTGAGGCTTGCTTTGTTTCCCAGCATATGGTCTATGTTTGAGAATTTTCCACGTGCACTTGAGAAGAGTGTGTATTCTGCTATTTTTGGATGGAATGTTCTATGTATATCTATTGAATTCCTCTGGTCTAGTGTTTCATTTAAGACCGCTGTTTCCTTGTTCACTTTCTGTCTGGATGACTTATGTGTTGACGTAAGTAAGATGTTAAAGGCCTCCACATTATTGTGTTGCTGTCAATTTCTCCCTTTAGTCCTGTTAATAGTAACAATATCTTATGTTTACATAACTCTTCTAGGTGGATCCTCTCATTACAGTTTTTCAAAAGTTAAAGACAAGATTTTCATATAAACATAAAATACACATGTCAAAGATTTTATTCAGCTCATTAATTAATGAAGCATCCAGTATGATGTTAAAACTGATTCAAACTGAGGAGCTGGGTATTTAGAGACTATTTAATAAAGAGATTTTAGAATAAGATTGCTGAGTTAGATACAGAACTGTTTAATGTTTTACAGGGTCATAAACTGTAATCTTTGGCATTATCTTTTCTGTTGGACAGAAATGATTTGCATCTGTTTCTAACAAAAATCTTCAAGTTAACCTCTGTCCCTATGAAGTTGTAAAATAGCCCAGTCAACAGATAGGTGATCAGAAGTGTAAGTACAGCACTGCATTAAAGGACACCCAGTGATCTCCTTTGTCTCTCTCCAAGTTTTAGGTGGTTTTAGTGAGTCATTGAAAGGCCTCATTAAAACTTCTTAATTTGTACAAGGTTATAGCTTTGATTTTAGGAAATAAATTAACATAATCTGATGTAAAACATTGCCATAGAAAGTGCTTTATATGAGTATATATTTTAATACCTGAATGTTTATGTTTCATAAAAATATATTTGGTGCTGCCGTAGGGTGTATGTATTCTGAGAAGTCAATGTTTATTGAGTTTTTATAATCTTAAACAAGTTGGTGTTTTAAATACTAGATATGGGAATCTTGAATAATGAACCTAGTTGTGGCTCTCAGGATCCTTCTGCTCTTCTGCTGTATCTCTAAGAGCGACTTCTTCTGATAACCAGTCCTATGCTCTAAGAAAACAGAACTACTCACGCTCAGTCCCGCAATACATAATGATTTTTCCAGTGATCTTTGCTTAGGCTGCTTCCTTGGCTGGAATGTACTCTGCCACATTCCTGTCTGCTGGAACTTCCAGTACAATTTGAATAACCTCCACAAAGCGTTCCCTAAAGACCTCAGCTCTAAGGGATGTTGCCAGTAACACTTTGCAACCCCCTCAGTTTGCTTATTACACATTGTCTTTGATTTATTTGTGAACCTGCCTCGTCTACCCCACTAGATTCTAAGTTTCTTAAGATTAAGTGCTGGGGCCTTGTTTTGTTTGTCTTTGTATTTCTGGATGACCAGTACTTACCATGGGGCCTTGTGTATCCCAGTGCCACTTTGAGAGTTTATTGAATTGAAGGCAATATCGGAAGATGGTGGGGGAGAATATACCATGTGCCTGGCTCCAGTAATTGTAATACCATCCCATGAAGTAAGTTAATAATTTAGTTGAGTAGCTTTGGTTCACTATTTAACAAACAATTGAGTACCTATTATACATCAAGCATTGTGCCAGATGCTTTGGCCAAAAAGACAAGGTGCAGCTGTAGTCTTTAAGTCATATATAGCCTACTGGAGAAAAAAGACATGTAAATAAGTAAATACAATGTAGCATGACACTTGCTCAGAGTCACACAGCCTGTGAGTGATGTGGTTGTGATTAAAATCCAAGTCTGTTGAATTCCAAAGCCACCAAGCCAAGATGCTTCCAGAACAGAAAAACTAGCTGTGCTGAGAGTGACATCTCCTTAAAAGAGCAAAACAACAACCTTGCTCTGCCTATTATTTGAAAACATTATTAATCAAACCATTTTGTTTTATTTGCAAACTAGGTCCTTCAGAAGCTTGGGAAAGCTGATGAGACAAAAGACGAACAGTTTGAAGAATATGTCCAGAACTTCAAACGGCAAGAGGTAAGTACATTTATCTAGATTCTGGAGTGGGAAATGGAGGGACTGTATTTGTGTTTTAATATATAATTAAAATGCTTTAAGGTTGAAGAAAGAACTTCTTCGTTGGGGTTGGCATTAACTTGAGGGTTAACACTTGCTGATTCTGTAGACTTTCTTGTGGAAGGCGAAGGAAGAGGCAGTAGGCACTGCAGGAAGATTTGTGTTTTAGAATCTCAGGAGATTAAGACTTTGCTTCTCTGAAGCTCTTTAATACGGTTTACTAATCTAAAGGAAAGATGATGTTTTTGGTGGTTTATATTCCACTCAGTATTAGAGAAGCAGTGGTTAAATACTTCTGGCAAAATTACTTCAATTGTTGCCTGCTTCAAGATCGTGCATTCTCAGCAGGGATTATATCTCCCTCAAGGGGATGAAAATTGGTTCTTGGTGGGTGAAAGAAATCATACTTTTTTAACGTGTATATGTCATGAAACAGATATATAGTATATCTATGGTATTAAAATTGTACGAGGGGGATCCGATTAGGAAAAAAATGTCTAGAAAGGCTCTTCAGGGGAGGCAATAATGAAAAAAAAGATGAAAAACACAGTTTGTGATGTTTGTTTCTTTAATGGGCTGCTATGTGTTCAACAGATGCATAGATAGATAAACAAACTTTTTGAAATGGTCTGTTTGTATCTCCAAGGCTTTGATAGTTGGCTAGCATATCACTCTTTAGAGAGCATGCACGAGGATCAGGGACACAGGAGATACAAGCTGGGCCTTCTGAGGTTAGAACCCTCAAATCTGGAGATCATTCTAGAGGTGGGGTAGAAAGAAGGCTGGGCTAGCAGACTCTGTAAAATGGGGTTTGGACATGGGGATAATGTGAGGACGTGGATTTATTTTTCTACTGTCATTGGAGCTACCAGTGTTGGCAGAGGAAATTGTGGCCTCAAGGATGAGTATGTGTGGCTTCAGGGATGACAACCAGTCATGGAAGATCATCACAGGTTTTGTTTCACCTCCTTTACTTGTTTTACTCCTTTACTCTGTTTGCAGGTCCCTGATCATGGAGGTTTCTTTCTTCTATATGTGTATCAGGGTTCCCACTGTTTTCTCACTGGTGACATGCTATTTCTTTTCCTCACCAACAGGGGTTGTAAAATCCAGTAGGTGTAGAGCCAGTTATACCAGCCTCCACCAGAACACATTCCTGAATGCCTCCAGTTTCATCCCAACACTAAGGGTTGACGTGTGCAGACAGAAACTCAATTTGCTATGAACGATGGCAGTCTCGTTCATCTGAAAATGAAGAAAAAGAGAGGGAATTTGGAGAAGAAAACAGTAATAGAGAGAAAAATAGATCATGTCCACATAACTGAGTATTAGAGAGAGCTTTGAATTAATGAAGGTGGAAAAGAGAATTCCTAGGGAAATGTTAGATCTAGGCCCATAGAAGAAGTTGTCACCCAGGCTCCTCCAGGACTCCACGTCTCCTTATGTTCTCATTTGATGAGTTCTCATGCATTCTCTCATGCATTTGGATAACACTCATACAGATCATTGTCTTGGACTGCAGCAACTTCCCACAGAAAAACTTGTCAATCAGTGCCCTGTTACTTTGAAGGGCAATCCCGAATGTCTGCTTTATGGATTGGATTTGGATAGAAGTGACTCATGTTTACAGTTTTCCCTACTTGAGGATTCATACTCTACCCTTTGAAACCTAGTCTTCCTGTCTGGTGTGTCCCTATGGAGCTAATTAGTTCTTTCTTCTTGGACTGTTTTCTCTATGACTTTTATGGCATTATGATGTTGTTAGCACCCCAGAAGGCTAATTTGGGGAAGCATGAAGTTCAGGAATGCATTCATGACTAGGAAGCACTTTGCTTTTTCCAATTACAGTGAATTTTTATTACTCTTTTTGGACTTTATTGACTGAATCAGATGAGGATTGTTTTTTGTCTAAGGTATTAGGGAAAAGTGCAATTGGATAAATCATCAACTTCATTGGTTAAGTGATCTGTGCCACTAAGAGCAGCAGCATGGGGTGACTTTATAATGCTGTCCTGTAATCGATTCCTGTCACTATACACATTTTCAAATGTTATGGAGAAAATAGTATACTATATTATCATTCTTGAAGACAAACACCTTAGATCTCTCAAGAACATTAGCAGATTTTAAGATCTGGGTAAAACTTCAAAATTTGGGGAAATTTGAGCAAGCAGTTCTACTTTATGAGTGAAATAAATAAATAGAAATATAGAAATAGCATTTCTCAGGAAATCTCCTGAGCCCCTTTGGTTCCCCTTGCAAATATTTTTGCATCAAAAACATCTTGCATTTGCACATATTCATTTTGATATTTTTTGTTTTAATCAGAAAGAGTAAATTTATAGTCATTTTAGTGCAGTGAGGAGGGAGGGTACCTTACCCCAGTCTGTATTTTAGAGGGAGAGAAGGTGAAAAGGAAAGAGTGGGAGGAAAGTAAGGAGAGAGATTTATTAATTTTCTATAGAAACAAAGTAAAGATTGGGAAGAATAGCTGAAGGCTGAAATTATTAATGCTCTATAGAGGGAATAATGTGTCCCTTTAACCCCCAATATGTATCGGTGACCAATTCACACCTGTTGCGTATGCTGAATAAGGTGTGGTGCTTATGTAGAAACATTAGGCTAGGAAGAAGGATCTATCAAGATTGTGGTGACCTCTACAAGGCCTATTATTTTTAGTATTAATGTAATGGTGAATCATTACTTTAAAGGCAGAAGCCATTATCTAAAGGCAGCATACTCTGAAGACAGTATCTGACTTAGGAAATCTAGATTTCATATTTTTTTCTGTGAATATATATTTTTCAAATCCAATACAGACACTATTTATAGTATAAAATGAACTATATTTGGATTTGTGCATTATGTGATAGCTGTCTGACCACACTCAATTAATACTTGATAAAAAGTAGACCCTTCTAGAATGTTCTAGAAAGTGTTCAAACATTTTGAGTCCTGATCTTGCTTTTAAATTCCCTTTAATAAAATCATAAGGATCCTCATAGTTATTCATATATTCTCTGCTTTTTCATGTTGGAAACAAAGGTGGCAGAAAGGTCTATATTTGAACTCTAGCTTGAGGCTTAGCTTTTATTTAATTCCAACCCCAAATTTTCTTTTTGATCCCAAACTTCTTTTCCTAAAAGGTGGTTTATGTTAGACTGAGAGTGTGGATGCAGGGTCTGTTCCTACTCTCTCGGTTGTCCATTGGACTCCCCGTTGCAGTAGTTTTTGAGGTCTAGGTTTCATAAACTGCTCAGTTAGGACAGGAGCAAAGGGGAAAGTAGAGCAAAAGGGACTAAAGTGAGCTTCTCTGCAGAGAACTCTTGAATTTCCATGATGATGAGCACTAAGGAGAGCAAGGGTTATAGAAATCCAGCAGGAGGAACAGAATCTGATTTCAACATTTCTTCCTTAGAGGGTTTTTTTTCTTTTCTATTTTTCCTCTCTTACCAGAGCTGCTAATAAGTAGCAGAATTGATGGTGTGAACATTAACTCCTTTTGGTTGACTGGGTTGCCTGCTGACAGATCCATTAATGAGCAGAGAAGAGGAGGTGGAAGGAAGGTCCTTGGCCTCCCTGCCTCATTCTTGTTAATAAACTTGCCCTCTAAGATGCCACACCTATGGCAAGTGTGCTAATTCCAACAATAAAATAACCCAGGGGCTGGTTGGACCCAGACAACCAGCTTTGATCCCATTTTTGTGGGCACAGATGTGAGCACCCCATGGAGGTGCGATCTGTGAACAATACTTCAAATAAAGGACAAGGGAGTCTCACTTCTCACATTGCCATAGCTTCTCATTCCCTGTTTTAAATGCCATAGCTTCTCATTCCCTGTTTTAAATACCATAGCTGTGTAGTTTTTGGCTTCTCTCCATGCCTGCCACCAAGTAACAGCCTAACTTTGGTGTAATACAAATGAAGAAGAAAAGAAATACCAGGACCTTACAGTCCTCTCCAATGATGAGAATTCGGAACCGGCGGTGCCATTTATGAGGATGGTCCAGTGACTGTGTGAAAGCTGGAGCACGTCCTCTTCCTGATCTCTCCTCTGCACAGGGATCCTGTTCGCCTGCTTTTTTCTTTTTCTCTCCACAGGACCTAGTGCTTTGCGCATAAGCTTTAAAATATTTGTTAAACCTGAAGCTGAACTAGTGGCAGAAATGATTATCTTGAGCACATTCCTAGAGCATGTTTTTATTTCTGGGATGGAAGAGATGTTGAATATTGTGTGAATTTTTGTAAGCAGTTTCATGACATTTTTACAACATACTTATATAAATAATTAAAAATAATTATAGAAGAGAACTTTCTAAAAAGAGTGTAAATACACAATATACTCCCACAGTGTGTTAAAGTGTGGATAAAATTTTTATTTATGGCAAATCATATTTACATTCTGAAAATTTTTGCAATTTGCTTGAGCAAATAGGCCTAGCCAAGTACCTTAGAATCATTATTTTTTTTTTCCCACAGACGATGATCTGAATATGTCAGTGTATCCACCTTTCATTATGTTAATAGTGACCATCTTCTGAAAATGCTACTGCCTTCATTAAATGTGAGCTTCTCAGGTCTGTTTTGAATAATGGTCCAATTCTAAATGGCAGCGTCCTGGCCCAGAGTGTGGAGAACTTCCGTCAGCCACAGAGCCTCCTGTCGGGTCACTAGACCTTCTGGAATCTTGAGTAAGAACCTCAGGTGGCGAGTTTTGTGGGCACCAGAACAGTGGTTTTCAAACTTTAGCTGCATCAGAATCACCTGGAAGGCTAGGTACAGCATGGGTTGCTGGGCCCTGCCCCTAGACTTTCCAATTCAGTCGATCTGGGATGAGGCCTGAGAGTCTGCATTTCTGACAAGTTCCTAGGTGATGCCACTGAAGCTTCTTGTTGAAATTAGGTCTTACTCTGATGGTTGCTAAATGGTGATTTTTTAAAAATTCCTTTTACACTAATCAA